TATTTGCATATGATTTTTTTTTAATATCTGAAAAGTGTCCTTTTTTTCAAACCTTGTATATATGCACTTTTATTTAAATATATATATGTATTAATATTATTCGTTGTTGGTAAAAAAATTAATTATAAAATACTATTGTTAGCTTCATCATTTTAAAAGCATCTTTTATAAACATAAGTGAAATGCGAGTATAATTAATTAATTTTAGGTTTGTTTAAATAATTTTTCAATAAAAATACTAAAAGTTTTATAGTCTTTCACTTTAATATATATATAATGTTTTTATTATTATAAAAACAGTATTGAAAATACAAGTATCTAATGTTCGTTTAAACTAGTTTGCTAATTTATCAAAAAAAATATAAAGTTTATATTCTGAGATATTTAAATTTTAATATGCTTGCAACGCTAAAAAATATGCAATAATAATTATTAAAATTATTGCTATAAATAATTTATATAAATGCTATTTATCGCAAAAACATTGTATGAGGTTTTGAGTCTTTCCATGTACGTTCTTTAACTCGTTTGCTTTGTGCCTTTTTAATATCATCTATCATTGTATAAATTCTTTTAGATCCATTTAATAATGCTTTTATATGTCAAATATTTCCTAAATTATTATAATAAAAAATAGTAATTATTATTGTTATAATAATAAAAAATATTATTTATAAAAAAAAATTAACCTGCTTCATATTTTTCTCGAACATGTTGAATAAATTGCTCATATTTTTCAATTTTTCTTTCGATTTCTTCTATTGCTAAATCATTTTCATTATCACTTTCAACTATGTTTAAAATATTTGATTCTTCTGATATTTGAACTTTGCTAATATTATTATTATTATTATTAATATCACTATTATTTGCTAATCCATCAATACTCCAAAATGGATATTGTCGATTGCGATGAAAAGTATTATAAATTAATCGATATGTGCTACTATCAATTGCCTGTATAAGGTGCTTACAAATCAAAAATCGGCTTTGAAGAAATCCTAAACAACTACAAATCCATTGGTTTGTATTGGTATAATATCTCTCATTAGAATTACTTTGCTTAGCATTAATACATTTTATCCAATCTTTTTTTAGATCTTCCTACCAGTAAGGATTTATTCTTCCCATAGTTAATTGATGAAGACGAATATTTTGTGTTGGAATTAATTTTTCGCAAAGAATAAAGATTACATAATCAAGTCTTAGACGATTAAATCTATATAAGTAATCATATTTAATTACCTTCCAGTGAGATTCAATTAACATATTAGTTTTGCTAAAAGGAATTAATAAATGATTGCTTCTAGCCCATAAATTCCAATGATTTTTAGTATACCACGAAAAATAAAGATAATTCCAAAGTCTTGGATTATTGAATTGAAAACATAATTGATATATTTCATAAACAGCCTTTTTCCATATTTCATCTTTTGTTAATAAAGTGCCATTTTGATTTATTGGAATTAGCGGATGTAAATTAAAATGAATTTCAATTAAATCTAAAATCTTTTTTGATGCTGTACAGAACAAATAATTTCAGTTTGATTTACTTGGGGAACAAAATTTGGATCAATAAATGGAAATTGTTAAAAATCGGCAATTGTAAATAAACTATATCGTACTTGTTGTTTATTTGATTTCATTTTTGTAAGTATAGCTTTTTTCAAATGCCAGAGACATAATTGAATGCCTTTATTTGGCCATAAATTTTTTATTGCATTAATTAGAGTAAAATCTTTGTCGGTAAATATAAAATCAGGTGAAAGACCAAGAATTTGAAATTTTAATAAAAATTGAGTTAAAATTTCTGATTTAGATAATTCCAACTCTCCATTAATTCGAATTATATCTAAAATTAAATAGCCCAAAGCAAATCCAGTTCCTTGATATTCTCCAATAATTCCGTAAAGCTCAAAATGACCTTTAGTTGTTTTATATGTTGCATCGATATGAATTTCTTTAATATTTTTTAAATTTTGAAGATTTGGTGTTGAAAAAGCAATTGCTGTTAAAGTATCATTATTAATTGACATTAATAATTCACAATCTTGAAATTGTTCTTGAAGTAAAATAATAGCTGAACAAATAGGATCTTTATGTTTTTGATACTTTGATTGAATTGAAACACTCCACCAATAATAAATTTGTTTAGGTGTAATATCTTGTAAATCAAAATGTGTAGATAGATAAGAACGAAGTTGTAAAGGATCAAGATGATAATTTTGATTTATTTCAGCAATTATTTCCTTTGGAACACCAGTAGAAATAGCAGGACGCTCATGATATAATAAATGCTTGACTTTAATATAAGCTTTAGAATTTATCATATTAATGCGAATAATAAGCTGCCCATTACATTCAAATCTTGTAATTCGTTTTCTATTAGAATTTTTAAATTTATTTAAAACTGCAGATTGACTGCAATGATAATATATTGTTCCTTTTTGGTCAGGAAGGCAAGTTGAATAATTAGCTTTCCAAAAGCTAAACATTTTCAAATTTTAAATTAATATATATTTTTTTAATTGATTTTATAATAATTATATAATTAACAAACTTAATTCTTACTTCCATTTATAACCATCACTATCTCCAATTATTTCACGTAATTTTTTAGCAACTTGAGTAATTGAATTCATCTCTTCATTAATATCGAATAATATATTTAGCTCAAACTCCTTATTTTCCTCATTGGCAACAAATTCTTCAACAAATTGTGATAATTGATTAATATGAATCTCGGCCAATTCAACATCGTCATTATTAAATATATAATCATTATCTTGAGAAATTTTTTTTGATTTTCGAATCTCACAATTTTTATGGTTTCGATAATCCAAACATTGATTACAAGTTTTTGATAACGTTGCTTTAATTTTTTTAAATGCGGTTTCAGGTAAAAAATTTTTGCAACTACTACAACGTTTCATTGTTAATAAGAAAAAAAGAAAAAACTTTTTTATTATAATTTGAATATTTCGAATATTAACTGCATTTTCATAACGATAATTAGTAAGCATCATAGAATAATCAATAACGAACGATAATTCATAACGTGATAACAAAAATCGGAGTACGGCGGAATGCGGAAAGTTTTGGGGGGGTCGCTGTAACAGGAGCGACCGTCATCGTTACACAAATTGCAGATCACTTCCGAGATTGTGAATTATTAATGTCAATTAATAATGATACTTTAACAGCAATTGCTTTTTCAACACCAGTAGAAATAGCAGGACGCTCATGATATAATAAATGCTTGACTTTAATATAAGCTTTAGAATTTATCATAT